GTGATGCAGATGACTCTAAAACTGTGTGTTTCCATTTCCACAGGAATTAAAGTCTCAAACAGAGCTTCACTTTAATAAATGCTTTTCTTCTTTCGTACCACCAAACACTCCTGACTCATATTAAAAAATCAAATCACTAATGGTTTTCTAAAGAGCCTGAACAGTGTCAAAATGAGGCATGACCTAGGTATTGTCCCTTCATGTCTGAAATCAGTCTGTTTGGAAATGCTCTCCCGCAGCGGAAATCCCGGAAGGTGATGATGGAAAGGATGATAAGTGGAATTACATACTCTGGAGGGGCATGAAAGAGGAGTGAGATGGTTTGAATCAAGTTCAAGTTTCAATCCAACGGGAAGCAGCTATTCCGGCTGTTGATATGAAACACATTGAAATCCACATCTAGAAGGTGTTACAAGGAGAGGAAGAGGAAATCTTCTTCTGTGTGCAGGAACACGTACTCAGGCTCTGCCCTCTTTCATAAAAATCACCTGCTGGTTTCACTGAGCCATCCTGGTCAAAACAATTACTCACTCCGTTTGGAACCACTGCATGGATGGTGGCAAACTCTTAAAGCTTCACACTTAAAACTTCACAGCACACCTTTTAAAAGGAAAACCTTTGCATTGTCTGTCATTTCCAGACTCTTCTCTGGATATCTTTCCTTTTATCTGTAATTTCCTTAGAATTTAAAATGATCGTATTATAAGTACTCTAAAAGAAGACTTACAAAGCCTCTTTATGGCTGTTCTTCCACCTTTCAAAGTTTATTTTCTTACTTCTTGGTCTAGTAATAATGTTTAAATTATAGACTGCATGGACCTATCAACAGATCTTACTTATTTAAATATTAATTTTCACAGTTGATTTTCTCCTCTCATCATGTTAGAAAAAATGATTATTTTTTCTTTTCTAATGGGTTTGTCTCCTATTTTCTCTGTTATTGACTAACTGGAATTTTTTTACCTCATTACATTTTCTACATCACTGTTTACTTAGTTGTTTTTTCTTTTCAACTCATCAATACTTTTGTGATTGGTATTAGTATGTATTTATAGAAGCAGAAAACATGACAGAAAAGTTATGAAACAGAAAGTAGAAAACTAGAAAATAAAAACGTTTTGGGTTTTGGCCACAAAAACAATTTATAAAATGCTAGTATTTGCATTGACCTTCAGGATATCCCACTGACTCTACCTTCTAGCTGAGAAGAACATAAGTCTTTCTCTCTATATTTTCTCACTAGTTCCAATCCCTGGAAAGTAGTGGTAATGAGTTTTTTTGATAATCTTAACAAACAATGGATATATTTTTCAGAGATGGTTTTAACTTAAGAACTTCTCTTAACTGCCAGTTTAACTAATGTGCCCCGTGTTGGTTTTATGTGCTTGTAATTTTTAATGTTTCCCACATCTCCTCCATCCTCAAAGCTAAATATGCTATTGGCTATACTCATTTCTGTATGGGATTTTTGGCAGTATGTGGTATATCTATATTTTGCAGCACCTCACATACTTAGGGCTTTTTTTTAATCACTTCATTGTCTATAGCTCTCAGGCATTAATGTATCATTATAACAACCTTTTTACAAAAAGAAGGATTATTTCACTCTGTGCTTTCAGTGGGAGTCTATTTAGTTATTGATATGAAGTACTTGGAAGAACTGAACAAAAGTTTTTACTGTGCTATCTGGATTCTGTATTTCAAACTGCTTTGATAATTGAGTGATTCAGAACTTCTGTGTTGATCATGTTCATCAATTTGTCATATATCACCTCAGTTTAATACCTCATTTCTGTTACATTTGAAGAGTTTTAGGATGGGACTTTCCCATTGCTGCATATTGAAGACTAATGCAAAGGGTTCTCTGGATTACCCTCATCTTCTGATCTTAAAATGTTTTAACCTGCCTACTTAATTTTTTTTCTATATCCAAGTAGGAGATTTCTGTCCTAAGCTACATTTGAGACAAGAAAAATAGAAGTCATAGTTATGTTCAGGAACAACTTTGATTATGCAGTAGTTTTCTACAAGACAAAAGGGCATGGCCTCAAGCTGTGCCAGGGGTGGTTCAGACTGGACATCAGGAAGAATTTTTTCACTGAAAGGGTTTTTAAGCATTAGAATGGACTGCCCAGGGAAGTGATGGAGTCAATGGAGTCACCATCCCTGGAGGTGTTCAAGAAACACCTGGACATGGCACTCAGTGCTCTGGTTTAGTTGGCAAGGTGGTGATCTGTCAAAGCCTGGACTTGCTGATCTTGGAGGTCTTTTCCGACCTTAATGTTTTTATAACCTAAAAAGATCAAAAGAAATCCAATCCTGCACCCTCATGTAAATTCTTTTAAAATAAAAGAATAATTTTGCAAGCTTGCAGCAGCTTACAGATGACCACTAGCAAAAGGTCGGGTTTGCATGGAATTACTGATTTCCAGCAAGGCACTACTGCAAGGAATGATAATTTTATTCTTCTACACTGCCCTAGGCATGGAAGATTCTCTTTGCAAATTAACAGGTCTGACAGGAGACACCTCTCACAGGGGTTTTTAAATGAGTAATGAATTTCTAAGACATGACAAATCAATAGTTTGATGATTTTATTTTTACCTGCTTCTCATAGTCCACCTGTAGCATCTTTGTGTTCTACAAAGCTTAGTGTGGTAGGGTTTATGTGAATATTCATTATATAGGTATGGTGCACACCACAAGGAGAAGCAACAAAATATTAACATGGAAAAGAATATTATCTTGTAAATCACAGTGTTTTGTTACTGTAACATTACATGAACTTTTACCAAAGCCATGGAATTTTTAAGTTGTTTACACGAGTGGTATGAACTAAGCATGGAATGGTAACTACATCTGCAATGCTCTATTGTGGAAGTCACTCATTGTCCTTCCCTTAAAATCTGCAATGGTGTGAGACTGAAAAACAACAAAACTCAAAACTTTGCCTAACTGAAAATTATCCTATGTTTCTGAGAAGTGTTACCAAAAACTATATCCTTTTGCCACAGTCTGTTTAATTTCAACTGTGTGCCAATTTAAAAAAGTATTTTATAGTTTTCTGGTTACTTTCACCAGTAACAAAACACAGTCTTGACCCTTTTCCATGCATGAAAAGAGCCAACCGTGAGTGCAGCAATGGGAGGTCTGGCCTTTCAGGTATGTCAACTGAAGACCACCCTACTGGAAGAGGTAACAAGAACAAAAAGCTGAGGTCAAACAAGGCAGCCCCATGTAATTAGATACTAATAGTGGATTTAGGGTGTAAAATTCACTTAAAACCATACACCAACAGACTAAACAATCCCAGGAAGAATGGCAAGTTTTGTTCTAAAAAAATGTTTTCAATACCAGAAAGCGTAAATAAAACATACATAATAACCTTGACTGACAGACTGCACCAACCTGCAGTAACATCTGCTTCCAAATTATTTGCTTGTAGTTTAGTACAATTATAAAACACTCAAATTCCACTACCACTGAAACTCTACTGTAACTTACAGTACAGTATGCATCCAATGTCATGACTGTCTTGTTGTATTCCCATGTTATACCACTAACAATGTTTAGAATTTAAGTTTGACAAGGAAATAAATTCCTCCCTTAACAGCAAAACCAAAAATGGAAGTCTGACTGTATCTAATACTCATGGAGGAACATGCTGAAGTAGATGCTGAACAAATAGGCAGCTGCTGTTGTAGGGTGTGATGGGGGTCAAAGAAATTATAAAATAAACTTCATTTCTGTTGGCTGTCTCATTTTGTGTTGATTTCTGATACTTTTGCAGGATGGATGTGCTACTTTTACATGTCAGAACTTGGTCTGATAGAGCAGCAAGATCCATCATGAAGAACATGGTATTCCCCCAGCTAAAGTGAGTATCTATCTGCTAGTCATCAGCTCTTATTGCTGCTGGGGCCCCTGGGTCATGTTGGGAACTGGCTTTTTGCAGTCCTTCCAGATTCCTTAATACTTTCATACCTCCAGCTGCTCTGCAAAGATCATGCCTTGAGGAATTTTGGTTTGATAACTTTCATTTATCCTCATTTTACAACTGGTAAATTAGTCTAAATAATTAGAACAATCCTATTAATTCCATGTCTTATAAATCACTTGAGTGGGATTTATAGGCCCTTTGGAAGCAGTTCTTTAAGAATGGTTAAAGAATTTCGTGTATTTTTGGCACAGAGTCCAAGGACAGAGGATTTCCCTCCTTGGTGCTCCAAGTCTCCCCAGAGAGAGACAGGTAATGGAAGAGGGATGGAAGGATGCTGAATATTAGTAAGCAGTGACAACTCACACCTACTGAGAACTGGGTCCTCTCTATTATTGTCCATTGGTGGTATCTCCTGTACAACAGAGGAGATGTTTGGGAAAGACTTAGAGCTTACTTATGGCCAAACTGACACTGGCTACGACTGCCAAGTTATTTTCTGTACTTGCTTTTTAGTACACAGAACAGGTATTGGCTCACAGTGCTGATCTTTGGAGCCAGCTCCTGTTGTGCACTGTCCCACCACAGTAGCAGGTGAGGAAACAGCAGCACTGGGGAGAATTCCAGCATCTGCCTTCCACTATGCTACATAATTTTTTGTGGTATTTACAAATCATTTGGCTTCAGAACTACCAGGAGCATCGTTTACCAGTCCATATGGTTCCACATTAAGTAGGTCTACTTCTCTAAGAAAACATGCTAAAAATATGCATCTAGATGGGAAAGTGGGCAGCTTTCAGCACAATGTCAAAGTGTAAAAATTCCCAGAAGTTAGTGCTAGTCACCCCTCTGTTGTTCTGACATTCACTTGCTATGAGACAGTGAATCTATTCTGCTTGCTGCTGCTGGAACATTTGCTTTTAGGGAGCCCCTTTATTGAGAATTTTTCTTTTTACTGAACGTCAGTATTGCATTATTCAGCCACATGAAGAGAACTGCAGTTACCTTCTGGTTTTTAATCTATTGAAGGAAAGGCTGATCCCAAAGAAAGTCCAAAACTCACCTTTTTGGGTCAACGATCTTGTAGAGTTTTCCACTGTGAGGCTGTGTCATACTTTTACTGCTTGATAATATGTATATCTCACCTGTTAGGGAAAACAGTGCAATAAATTACTTCTCTTTCCTAAGACGTTAAACACATGACTTTTGTGATCTGGTTGTATTTGCCAAATGAGATTAAAAAAACTTCAGAAGAAACACTGAAATATACAACAGAATCATTTGCTATTTGAAAATTTATATAAGCACTTTTCCCAAATTGATGCTAAAATGTGAAAAATATTCTATCATAAAAGGTTTTTTTTATATAGTATAGAATTGATTAAAAAAATTAAATTGGTGAGGAAGGGAGAAGAGGGATCAGTCTGCTCATGCAATATCTTTGCCCCTTAATTCTGTAATGCTGGAAATAAAAGCGAGTATTTTATACATTGTGTCATAGGGAGTGCCATGGTTCACAGCATGTAAGACACATTAAGGATTTTTGCCCCTTCCAGCAACACATTCTCTTCTCAGTTCTTCCTGCAAGGCTGCTGAGGTGTAGCTGAGAGCAGTGTAGACAGCTTCAGCAAAGGACAGATAGCCTTCTTTTTAAACATTCACTATAATTATGAATACTTCAGCACCAATTACTGATAAACCTTATAATTTAAGAACAATTCTTTTAGTATTTACCTAATTCATCTTCTCCAAATCCCAAGACAGGGCCTGCAAAGAAACCTCTACATGAGCCAGTGTTGCCAAGACAGAGGGGTTTCTCTTGCCACTGTTTGGTTGCAGGACTCTGTTGCAGTGTTAAAAAATTTCTACAGTCAAAAACACATAAGAAAAAAAAGTTATATTACATTTTGAACAGAGTTTTCATTGTTCAGATAAGTTTGTAACACTTGCTGTAAATAGCTTCATAGATACATCTGTGCAGTTCCTTGTCTTACAGTTTCCTGTACTTTTTCCCAAGGATTAGGTATGTTCTGTAAGTCACCATTCATTAGAATGCTGTGTGCTATTTTATTCCCAGATCTAGACTCTAATCTGCATTAACACACTGCTAAACTGGCAAGGTGACACAATATACAAGACTGTTGGTGTGGCTTTACACAGGCAGCTGAGTGACTAAATACACTTCACATGCATTTTTTGTTTAAGAGTGCGTGGTACAAAACCTACCCATTGCGGTCCCCAAACACGTAACTTCCATAGAGCCTCTCCGACTGGCAGCCCCGGTACACAAATCCACCAACCAGGGACCCACTGCTGAATGGTTTGAATTCTAGAAGTGAGGGCTCACTCTCTGAAAAGGAACTACCATAGCATTAGATCATATGCATTTTCATATTGATGCACATTTAGGAAAATGTTAGTGCTTCCAGAAAAGAGATTAATTCCATTGAAAGATTCCTCAAAAATCAAGATGCGTTGCCAGAAAGATGTTAAAAAAAAATCAGAAAATTACAACAAAGTCTGTCTGTGAAACAATCCATTAGAGATTTCAAAGGAGAGGCTATAATTGCTTTCTTCCATGTGCACACGCTGGGAGAATAAAATTACATAAAGATTACGCTGGACTTCCATTGAAATCAATGTGATTACTGCTATTAATTTCTGCATGTCAATCCAGTCTGCAGACTGGATCTCCTGAACTTCAGGAACAAAATAACCCCCATTCACTGTAGAGTCCAGCGCAGAAATTCCACTGATTTTCAGAAGAATTAGTTTTGAAATCCTTTCAATGGTTTGAGAAACTTTTCCAAATCACAGTTTTAAAGATGGTATGTGTGTTATACCCCATAACACATTACTATTACTGGCTGTATCTTATGGTAATTTATTTTATGCTGCTGTAGTAGTTGCAGTTCCTACATTTTTCTCTCCCTTTTTTTATTTCACAAAACCACAGAGTTTAGTCCTATCAAACAATTCTTCAAGGAAGTTTTAGTGTACGTGTTTCTATTCATGCAATCAAATACTGCTTAGGGTACAAATAGGCTCCATTTGACATGCTAGCTGCCTAATTTTAAAAAAAGCCACAGCCAGTAGATAATTTTTAATAGGAAATTTTTTTTAGTCAGAGGGCTATCTGGAAGCCTTTGATAAATGCATTTCCCAGATTGTTCTACATGAGTTAGAGCTGAAATTTTATGGGGGAGAAAAGGATGATGGACTCTTTTTATTGAAGCCATTGACCCACAGCCTAGTATTAATATTGGCAAGCTGCTCTGCATAGACACAATATTGCTTAGTTTACTCTGCAATAAGGATGCAGTCAAAATTCCATTGGAGCAGTGGTTAACCAAATATTATTCTTTGGTTTGGCTTTTACAAAATGGACACAGAAAATCCATGCAATAACTGAAGCAGTACAATTGCATTATGCTATTATGTACTGTTGTGCCAGCCAGCACAGCTGCTTTGCTTTTAAGGGAAATACAGGTGGGAGAACCAAGGGATGTGAATTAGCAAGGGAAATGCTACATTCCAAGAGTCAGGCCAGTTCTCAATGCCTTTACACACCGTTGGCATTTATCACATGTTACCATCAGGAATTTACAAGCTGCTAAATGGGCACTCAAGGCAGATGATAGCTTAGAGGAAGTGTCAGAACTTGCCCGAACTAGCACGGGATCTTGGTGAGCATCAGAGTGAAACATCAAACTGAAATTGTGACTGGCAATCATACTGATTCAGAGAGAGCATGAAGCACTTTATTATTTTGAAGACCCTAATTGAGTGTATTTATCTTTTTGTAATTTAATCTAACCTAGTCATTCATTATGAAGTAGTAGCATAGTGCCTTTTTCTAAGTTTTTTATTTTTAGTAACATTTAAACAGAGCTCAGCCATTTCCCTGTTTGGTTGTGGTCTGTTGTCTATCTCACTTTTTCCATTATAAGAGGCACATTACATGAGGTTTCCATTCTCTGTCTTAAAAGGTTATTTGTGAAAGACTAAGAATACATTTTCATCATTTCCTGATATTCCAAAATATTCTCTTTATGAGCCAAAATATGCAGCAACAGTGAGATATTTGACAGACTAGCAACTGTCAAATTTGTTAAATCTTATTTACATGATATTCTACACCAACAAGAACAAAGTTGAGTCATTTCAATTTGGTTTTGGCCTGCATCTTTTATCCGCTTCTGCGTTGAAGTTTTCTCTTGAAAAGACAGAACTTTTCACTTCTATATCAGATAAGTTGTCTGTCCTATGCTGTAAGATTCCTACCATGGCTATACAGGCCTTTACATATTCTCTTCTGCTTTCCGTTTATTATTCCATGGACATAGAACCTGACTGTTTTAGAACCAGCAGCTTTACCCTGGATAGAACTTACCATAGTCTTTGCCCTTTATTATTTGTAAGATCCTTGCTGAAGATCTGTTCTTTCCATTTGAATCTGAACAAAGTATAGTTAAATTGATGTTTACATCTGTAGGGTGCCGGTCCACAGCACACCTTTATAACAAGAAAAAAAGAGAAAATCCATGAGAAAGGTGAGTTCATAACATATAATTATCAATATGAAGCATTGCATTTTAAAGTGTTATTGTTGCTTTGTGGTGCCTACTCATTTGAGGGACCTGTTTCATGCTGAGCCAAAATACCTGAGAAATGTGTTACATTTATATACAGGAGATAATACAACTTTCTCATTCCTACACCATTCCTATGTAGTATGAAATAAAACTTTTTCCCTAGTGATATAATGTCGTCTGCACTATAGCACCTGAAAAGAATAGTGCCTTAAGCTAAATGAACTTATATGGTGTAGGAATTTTGGACTGTTAAAAAGTCAAAGAATCAAGTCCTTATCTGAACAACTTGACTTTCTGATTTTTTTCAAACCATGACTTTAAATGTCACTTCAGTAACTACCACCCACCTAATTTGCTGAATTATGTGTTGTTTAGTTAAAGCATTGTTCTCCTCCTTGCTATTGTTTAGATATCACCAGATGTTCTCATTTGTTCTCCACGTGCCTTTTTTTCCCAGTCAAGATTCCCATCTCAGCTGTACTTTACCAACTCTTTGCTTTAAGCTCTTTTCTTTCACAAATGTAGTAATTTTATTACTAATTAAAACTAGAAAACCTATACTTTGTTTCTGTCATTTTGTTCTTGACTTGTAGTAGTTGTGCATGCTCTTCTCTTTCCCCTTTGCCAATGTACATTTGTTTCTAACTGTGACATATATGTGGAGGTGGAGGAGTGGAAAACTCAAAAAGTTCAAGATCACTTTTATTATTGAAATATTGCTGCCTGACTGGATAAAAAAAAAAGCCTGGTTGAAAACAGTGTCTGCTCCAGAGTAATTTCAGTTTAATTGAAACTTACTTACCGGCCTGGATTGTGGAGTCCATGTGCAAAAATCTCAGGAGGTTGGTTTGTGCTGTTGAAGTGTGGGTTGCTCCGTGGGATGGAATAAGGGACATTGCACAGGTCAGTATTGACATCCAGGCGCAATACAGAACCTGTGAAATCACTGAGAGAGTTGGAGGGTAAAATAATTGGGTTTTTTAAAGTATTTTACTGGTAGATTTAATCCATATAATACGAGAGTGAACCAGCAAAATAAACGACCCACTTTACTGATTAATCACGTAGATATTGATGTCATGATGGATGCAAGTCAAAGAAGAGTAGCAGAGCCTTTCAAAGATTCAATTTGGCAAGTATCCTGCCTTGTTATGTGCAGACTAAAATGCCTCTGACCATGTTGTTGAGAAGCAACTTGATCATAAGAACAGCTTTCCAAACATCATAATTATTTAGGGCCTCAAATATAAGGCTACTAACTCTTTTATACTGTGTGTCATTTAGAGTAACTATGGATATAATCACATTGTAATCACAAAGTGCTTTTTGCTCACACTTTGGATCCTACTCTTGAATTCAACGATTTCTAGTCACAATACAATCCAAAGACTAATTACATAGAAAGCAAGTGAGAAAAAAATGGTATTGTTTGAATGGAGATGTTGATACTTTTTTGTAAGGATTCAGAACTTTCTCGTTATATGAAACAGGAGAAACTAAAATGTTTTAACTTACATTTGTGATTATGATAGAGGAAAGGAGAAGTAGAAGAAGAGCACCAAAACATAGTCATAAACATGACTACATGTGATGTTTAAATTAATTCCATTCCATTAATTTAAAACCAAGTACTACAATTGCCCTCTGGTTTGGGTTTTGAGTATATCCTTATACTTTAAAAATACTTTAAAAACCACAGGAGCACCTGCAATTCTGCTGAGCACAATAATAGAAGTCTATCCACTGGTAGTTTATGTACCTTAAACCATCCATCTCCTCCATGTCATCTAGAGTGATCATGCCATCTCCAAGAAAAATGTATAGGAAACCATCTGGGCCAAACAGCAGCTGTCCTCCTAGATGTTTTCGATGTAGTTCTGCTACTTCTAAAAACACTCTTGCTGTCCTCATGTCAACTTGGTGTGGATTTTTCCTGCAAGTTAAAGATATGAACACAGTTTTCACAGTTCATTATTGCTGTTCTTCTTTCTCAAAATACACTTGACTCATTCAAATTATCCACTTTGAGATGTGGATGTTGTAGCTTGGTGGAAAAATGCCTAACAGTTTTTTCCTGAGAAATTTCAATTTTCTAGCATTCACAAACAATTAATTTGATGCCTATACATAATAAGTAGGAAGTAATTAAAATTTAAAAATGACAGAACAACTGAAAAAAGTCTTAAAAAGAAAAAAACAGTGTACTCACTGTCATTCCAAAACTACTATTTGAAATAAAATCCACGATAGTTTTTCTGCAGGTGCCCAAATTTACACATTGTAAACTTCATATTCATTTTAGAAATCAGAAATACTAAAGTGCAGAGGTTGCTGAGAAATACAGAGCTTGTTAATTTTAGACTTCTACTGATACCTGGATACTGTGTACTCTACGACCCTAAGGATGTGGTCATGAGGTCCAATAGCCCACCGTTCTTGGTTGGTGGTATAAGACACATACAGCTTTCCATTTTTCTTGTAATTGGGGTGGAATGCAAGGCTTAACAGTCCTCTTTCATCTCCTCCCTGCAGTCAAATGAAAAACACAAAGAATTGTGAAGTTAATTATGTTCTTTATTGTGTTTCAGCTGGAACCCAAAAAAAAAAAAGTTTCTTTCTTGTGGATAATCTTTGCCCAAACTCTTTTATTTCTTTCCTGACTACTGCACAAAAAGGATTATAAAACATTTCACTTTGGGGAAGTCTTTAAGAGTTAGAACAAGACAATTGCCTTATGTAGTTATCTAGGCACAAGTCTGTTACGCCACTTTTGTGGAGTGATTTGTGTATGTAATCTTTGGGAAGCCATGAAGACAAGTTTAAGTGCTGTGAAGGATTCTTTGCTGGGTTACTAGGTTGCTTGTAATTCGTAGAAGATGAATAAAAAGGTCTATAATCAGCAGTCACTTCTAATCCAAGTATCCAAAACCTAAAACATAGTGCTGGCTGCCAACTCCCACTGTCTTGGCAATATGTTTAGAAAACAGTTAAATTGCTTGTGTAATATGTAAACCTTTGTTTTACCCTGGAGGCAGCAACATCAGTTGTCACAACTATGGTGGTCTGTTCATCATAGCTGGTGTACTGTAGGTAATAAGCAGCCTTGGTCTGTGTGCAGAGAAACCATAGTTTTACATGTGGTCCCTCACTGGAAAGGTTTTTTGTTATTTATTTAAAATAAAAATAGAAAAATCTCAGAAGAACTTTCTTTTGTTATTATGTTTGCCATGAAGATTAGTACAGTTTTAAGTTAAGCATCCAATCCATGTAATGTACTGTGACAATGCAAAGACCCTATGAACTTAAATAGAAGGCTATTTTCTTTTTGGCTACTAAAAAGCTTATAAAAAATGTACATACTATTACTATGCCTAAAACTGTATTTGTATAAACAAAGAATAAAACTTAGATTCATTTGTTGCTCTTGAGGCAATACAGGGAGTGAAGCTGAGCCATGGAAATAAACAGCACATAGTTAACAATTCAAATTCAATTAATACATGTGATTATTCACAAGGGGATAGATGTTTTGGGGTTTGACTCAGGACTTGCCAGCCCTTCAAAACTAGAACCAGTGACTGTTGTAGATTCAAGTGTTCGAGCTCTGTACCCATAAGGAGACAACGTTTTGCAACTGTAACCACACCCAAGATAGCTAATTATGAAATTTGAAATTATAAGAGAGAATGAAGCTTTAAAATGTATTTGCACTTCAGAGTGATGGATGGGCCTGTCTTCCTGTTGAAAGTCATCCCACAAAGGGCCTAATTGGGAAAGTGCACAGCTTTAATTTATTTTAATTCAACATGATTGCCGTACTTCCTTTTTAATCACAACCACCAAAGAGAAACCTGAGTCAGAAATGGAGATGTAAATAGGTCAAGAGATTTCCATACAAACAGATTTGTACAATGAAACCTGGATCCTGCTAATTTAGAGGCAGACAAAATTTGCTAGTTTGTTTGCTAGAAAAATTTAGTTTCAAGGGGTTATCAGAGAGGTTAGTTTTGAAAGTCTAGCTAGAGCTGCCAAATCAGTTGCAGTCATCATGGATGAAGGGACTGCCAATCCAGCTCTTTCTCCCTTATGAGCCAAAAATAATTCTGCAGCTGAGTCTGAACTGATTGTAGATATTATTGTTTGAGTTTCTAAGGGTTTTGACCAAGTTGCTTTGATAAAGTCTGAAGCAAAGGGAGGCAAATCAGTTGCTTTGGGAACAGGAAGGCATATTTCAAAGATTCCTGATGAATGATTCTATCTGTTGTGCCCAGACAAAGACAGTCCTATTTCTTCTCCTGAGAGATGAGTTCAACTCATTTAAGGGCCCAAGAATGTCAGTGAGTCACACTAGGTCTGCCATGCAAGGTGAGTTATTGAAAGTATTAGTAAGAAAAGATCTTTTTGTTACTGAGCTGAAGATTTTATTTAGTGCTGGATGCCATGGCAGCCGTCTCAGTGTGAAAGCAAAGTTGTTGAAAGCGTAAACAGGTGAAAATTAAATTAAGAGCTTTTAATGAAGTACACATGAAGCAAGAATTTGAAAAATGAATGAAACATGGGACCTGCAAGGTAGTAAATATGGCAAGTTGTGTTTGTAGGATCAGGCCATGACTTTTACTCATTGCTGTCTTGCATGATTGTTAGAAAGCAGTGTATCACTTTGGGGATTGTTTCTATTGCTTCTCAGAAGGTCACACGGATGTTTTTCAAAGTCAGATAGACACATTTTGTTCTAAAAAGTCTATTTACTCAGACAGTTAATAAAAACTTTGTGAATATCTCTCCAAGACACTGAAATCAGTGCAGCATCAAACCATTAGCTGGCTCATGTTCAAGTAGAAATCCAGATGAGTTTTTCCATATTTAGTTTTTCTGGTTTTGGAAATTGACTCTTCATGTGTATTTTCAACTTTACCACTAACTAGCCAATCTGTTCTTCCCAATCAAATTCCTGCCATAACTTCCATAGCTTTTGAGATGCCCTCTATGTGCCAGAAAGTATATAGTAGTTCTGTTGTGTTGTCTCATATGCTGTGTGGTAAATGGAGAGATCCATTTACTAGCAAAATCCCTTAGAAACAGTAATTTTAGTAATCTCAAACTGAATAATGATGTACAAAATCTCAGACTTTTTCTATAGAATATTCCTTACTCGTATTTTTTATCAATATTGATGTGAAAGCAGCATCCCAGGCTTAACAGTCTTTCCTGTGGATACCATGTGTCAAACACCTGTATCTTTTTCTCGGCAGCTTGAAAGGTTATTGACATTCTTTTCTTTGAAAGTTTCCCTTTAGATGAAACCAGCACCAACAAACTGTAGATGACAAAGCAGCTTGTATGAGATTCTGCACTGCACTATTTGATGGAATAACCATTAATGTTTGTCAGTTGTATAAGGAAGGGCAAGAAGAATGAGACAATCTTTGTATTCCATTGGGATGTCTGTTGAAGACAAAGAATGATGGTTGGCTGAAATGAGTATTAATTACTTAAACATACTGTGGACTGGGGCCAATGTGAAGTTTGTGTCGTAACTGGATCTGGCAGCTCCCACTTGCCATGTCTGCCTGAGCCGCTCTGCAGCTTGAACGCTCCCCTCTCCTGTTCCAGCTGTGACACCTTCTGCACCAATACTGCCCTTTCCTTCAAAACTCATCTCCTTGGGCCAGAAACCTTGGACCTTTAAACCCCAGCTTGGTCTAGTTTAAGACCGCAGCCATGAGAATAATTTAATCAGAATTCCATAAAGTCAGTACAAAGCCAAGTAAACATTAAAACAAAGTGTTTCTGTATTTTTCATTTTTAAAGGGCTGTTAGCTATGTTATGTCAGTTTTGAAAGTATATTGCTGCAGTATGTGTTGTCAGCTGAAGGATATTTTTGATACTTCTTTTTGTGTTGTAATTTCTGCTATAATTTATTTACACTTGTAAAAATGTTAAACAAGTGCACAAAACGATCCACTTTGTGTTTTGACCTAACATTAGGAGAAGTAACTTGCATGTGAATACTGGATGTGAGGCATGTGAATACTGGATTTTTATAGAATGGTGCTATTTTCGTGGAACCACTCATTAGAAATGGGCTCTGCTTCCAATCTGCGTGCTTTCAAATGTACTCTGGTATACCTCTGATATTATAGACAGAGGTTTTATTATATTTTTAAGATATTATACTGTTTCTATAATATAGAAACATATGCTGCACTTATTTTTAAGCCATACTGCCATTTAATTATGTCTATATATGTGTTATTACATATAGTAAATACAGAGATATACACAGGAATTTTTTAATTGGTATTTTAAATTATTTAATTTAAAATAGATCATATTGTAAGTATGACCCTTAATTACGTATCCCTAGTAGTAATTAATGCTAGTAAGCAAAACCAGACATGACCATTTATTTCCATTACTCTGTGTGGCTTAATAGTAAACAATGTAGGTAGCATATTCCAAGTTTTCCTTTAAAATTGATTTTGAAATGCACTCTTTATATAATACTTATAAAATAAGAGTATTTATACTTAACAGTACTATTATGATGTGTATATATATATATATATGTTATATAATGGTATTTATACTTGACTTTTTTGTCTGGACAAACTCACTCTCATGCCGGAATGGAGTAACAACCTTCCTTAAAAGGGGTTGTGCTTAAAATATGCAAATTCAACACTGACTTAACATTTTAACTCTAATACCTTTATATCTTTTCTTTTCATCTATTCTTATAGTGCAAATGCTGCGTAAGTTGTTGAAGTAATATAATCACCTTTAATTTAGTTTATTTCCTCTGTAATAAAAAGCATAACCAATATGCCTTACCAAGTGTTTGATCTTAAGGAGTTTTATTTGTAAAAAACATGGGTGAAGGGTAAAACCTCTTATCAGGCAGCACCATCTGAACTCTTCAGAACGAGATTCAGGAGGGCTGAAGATCAGTGTCAGGTATTCTTCTCAGTGGGAACTGTTTGCTTAATTGCCATGTTTTGGAAATTTGGCCCCAGCACAGGACAGAAACGTGACTCCAGCAGAAGCAGAAGCCTGCCAAGGTCTGCTGCAGGGGTACACCCTGCCCTTCGAGCTGCACCACCTATTCTGAGCTCCACAAGAGGGAATTGCCCCTGACTGGAGAAATAGAGCAAACACAGAATGAAAGGAGCAGAAATTGTCTGGGCTGCAGGCAGGCTGCAAGAGCAGAGCTCCTCTGAGACCTCTTGGGTGTTGAGGACTCCAGTGCTTTGCTATCTGTGGGGCCTGAGGCCTCTGGCAAGGGAAGGATTTGAAACATAAGACATTTACCTTAGGGGAAAATAATTACACTGATGTCATGGCTCAGTATGGTCTACATACTAGACCCTATCTCCAAAGCATTTCCTTTTTCCTCTTGTGTTGCAGAGCTTCACTTTTTTTCCTTGTTTATAAAGGGCTTTGCAGTTATCTAAGAATTTTTTTAAAACATTTTCATCATTTTTTACTGATTTCAACAAATGCACCATTTTAATTCTTGACTTTA